CGGGGACACGCCGCTCTTCTCCCGCCCTGAGCAGCCTCCGGCCTCCCCTCGGCACAGTTTGGCCTGAAGTGCAGCCCCGGCAGCCGCGTCCCCGCTCCCTTCCCCGGGAGGAGCGGCTTCCCCGCATGCCCAGTGCACGAGCAAACGGGTGGATCCCCTCTGAGGTTTCTTCTCATGCGCTTCCCCCCACCGCCCCCGCCACTCGTGTTCTTTTCTTTTTTCCTCATTAAGCATGTCAGGAGCAGGCACAAAACGAGGCTGGGCCTGGCTCTCTAGGTTTTCAGTCTCTCCAAGGAAGGGTGGCTGGAGTCCCACCGTCACCACTTGTGCCGAGATGTTTCCTTGCAACTTTTGTGGTTCCCAGAAATAATGGAGCTCTGGCAAGGATACAGCCCCAATTCTGGCAGCAGGGACCTAGTGCATCCCTTGCATCCCAGCCCCAGCAAAGATACAGCCCCAACTGTGGCAGCAGGGAGCTGATGCACCCAGCGCTTGAGCCTTGCAACCCAGCCCCAGCAAAGATACAGCCCCAGTTCTGGCAGCTGGGACCTAACGCATCAGAAGCCTGAGCCTCTCCTCCACCTTCCAGAGCATGGAGGCAGCTGCTTCTTGATGGGGTCACGCAGCACTTCTGAAGCAGCACCAGCATACGGTGCAGCATGTGTGAAGTGTGCATCCCTCCTCCACCTTCTAATACTATAGCTGGGGAGGAGCAGATGATCGATCCCAATCTTTGCCATAGGAAGCAATAAAGCTGAATAGCAGTTGCTCCATCCTGTTGTTTTTATGACCCCAGGAACTTGGTGAACGGAGTGATCTCATCTCTTCATTGGGGAAGAGGATTTCAGTGCTGTCATAGCCTGACAGGCCTTCAGCATGCTGGAAAAGCGATTTAAAAACAATTTTAAAAATTGATATGTGTTTTAATACTGTGTCAAATGAGCCAGTGGCCAAACAAGCCTGGTTGTTTAGGTTTTTAATCTCTAAGAGGAGGGTCAAAGAGGAAAAACACTCATGAGGAGGATGGTGAAGCTCTGGAACAGGTTACCTGAAGAGGTGGAGGGATTTCCATCCTTGGATGTTTTTAAGGCCCGGTGTGACTAAGCCCTGACTGGGATGGTCTAGCTGGAGATGGCTGTGCATTGAGCAGAGGTTGGACTAGACCAGTGGTTCTCAGCCTGTTTTATACCAGGACCCATCTGTAAATATTGATGGCCAGTCCCAACCCAGTAAACATTTCAAGTAGAAAACAGTCCCCTGGCTCTGCCAGTGCCCCTCACTCCCAACCCACTGCACCCAGCCCTGTCTCCCAGTGTGTGGAACAGGGAATGGGTGTATGGGGAAGGGGGGGCACATGCCTGCCCCCCCCCCCCCCCAGATTTGTGCACTCACAGCAGGTACATGCTGCAAACTGCTGGCTCTGCTGGTCCAGCCAGCTTCCTCTGCTGCTCAGTGGACAGGACTAAGCACAGGAGGGCAGAGTGGGGCAGTGAGACTCATTGCTGTCACTTCTGCCAGAATACCTGTGCCAGCCATGCTGCCAGCGGTGCGAGGAGTAACAAATGGGTGGTATCCCGTGCCACCCTCACCTTTTTACACTACCAGCTACTCATGCACCGGACTGTGGCACTACTCCATCACTGTGGCCTGGCTGCCACCACTGCCACTCCCCTCAGGCCGCATCTCTACCCCAGAGGAGGTGAGATGACAGGCAGTGTTGCTTGTCTACCCTGCCCCCTGACACATTGTCTATGCCACCCTTCCCCACTTCTCCACCCCATAGACTAGACTTACCTGCGGGGAGCTGTTCTTCATGCTGCCTGGCTGCCACATGCACGTGCATGTGGCATCCCCGCCTGATTGTTGTCTTCCTGCTCCCCTCAACCCCAAGCAGCCCCTTGCAGACTGGAACTCTGCCAGCCTGCAAGGGGCAACCTGTGGTTTCCCACTTTTTTCTCCTTCAAAGGAGAATCCACTTTTTAAAGACTGATCCATTTTTTTTTTTAAAGTTTGTCTGTAATCCTTTTATATATTCTTGTGATCCACTTTTGGGTCACAACCCACAGGCTGTGAAACACTGGACTAGAATTAGGTGACCTCCTGAGGTCCCTTCCAACTTTTAATTTTCTATGAAGCAGGTGATCAAGTAGTTTTTTTTGGGGGGGGGCCCAAAAGCATCACAAATGCAGTGGGTTTTTGTTTTGGTTTTTAAAGGAGCTTTTAATTCTTGAGTCATAGGTCTTAGCATCTTCTCTGCAGTTTATTGCACATACGTGTATTCTAGATTCCTCATCTCCACCTCAGAAGTTGATGCAGTGTTTAATTATGATGCCAGTGTGTATCACTGGCTCTTCTTGATTTGAAACAATTTAATATGAAATATCATTATGTATTCTGCTGAAGCCATGTGTTAGTTAGAGATAAGTTGCTTCAGTTGGTGTGCATGTATTTATGTAACCAATGTCTGATACAGTAGCGTAGTTACTATTTAGTTAAAGCTGAATTGAAATTTGTAAGGCTAAACTTGTTCTGGTTCATAGCTTTAATGATGCGATTTAGCCTGCCAAACTAAAACAATAGCTCTCCATGGGTTTGTTTGTTTTTTTTCTGTGTAAATAAGCTTTTTTGTTTAGTGGCTTTTGTTTTTGGTTTTTTTTCCTTAAATAGAAACAATATTTGAAATGTTGCCCTGCTTCCCTCATGAATTTGGATTTCACCCTCCTCCCATGTTCAGTACTCCAATAATAGTTCAGGCAGGCTATGTTTAAAATATTCACGTTATGTGCAAAGAGATGTAACTGGCCACCAGCATCAACAGGTGTGACAACTCATCTGTTCTGCTCGGCCATCTACCCTGCTGCTTCTATAATGAGCTGCCGGATCCTAGCCTCTGACAGCTCAGGTTTGCTACTCTCTTTCCCTACCCCCTCTCATATAGGGTTTGCCTAAATTAGGGAGGAAAAAGTGCATTTTTAAAATAAACTGAGTTTAATCACTGTACTTTTAAACTGCTGATGTAGAATGGGTAGGTTTAGCTTAGCATACTCAACTTTGCGTAAAGTAAATATAACCCTCCTGATAGGCTCTGGGCAAGGGGCAGATTCAAACTCCAGGTTTGGCACCAACCCTGGTAAAAAAAAGTTTGGTTGTCAGTGAAAAGTTTGCAGATCATCAATTTTTGAGTTGGCAACCCTACCTGACTGTGGCAGTGGTTTTACATTTGTTGCCCCTACCCCAGGGATCCCTTACCCACATACTCTGACACCCTTGAATGTACTCTGCACTGTGCTGCCCCCCACTTTCCCTGATCTTAGCACAGACTCCTGAAGAAGGACCAGGATCTGCCTACCTGTGAGTTGACCTAGGGAAGGAGCTGCAGGCTACAGAGCCCTGAGAGTTGCTTCCTGAAGGGTGCAGTGCTACTGCTCAGACACAAGGTGGTACTGTAGCGCTCTGTCAGTCCTTTTACATACAGCCTTTTTCATAAAAGGAGCTTTAGTTAAGCTCTGGTTACTTAATGTTTTTATGAATTTTGTTTGTTTGTTTATGGACTTTATAGGCAGATGGTTTTTAGGCTTGTTGGTTTTTTTTTCTGGTCTCCCCATAAACTTATGGATAACTGGCATCCATAAATTATGGATAATTAGGAAATGTATAGTTAATGGGAGCAGGGGGAGGTAGACATAGATAATGTTGATTGGAGGCATCCAGGTGTTGACAGCAGGAGTAAAAAACATAACCAGGGAGCAGGAGTGAGCAGTATGACTTCTTAGTAACTCCATGGCCTCCTTTCTCACTGATCTTCAGTCCTATTTGGGGGTAGCACTTTCTGTTCCCAGTAGGTGGTCCTGTCCTTCACATGAGCCCTCCAGCTACTCTTCCCCATGAAAAGTTATTTTTTCCCCTTTTTTCATTTGTGCCTTCTGATTTTCAAAACAGGTTACTTTATCCATTTAAAAAAAAAAATGACCATATATACATACTGTTCTATTTTAGAAGGGGCTGAGAAGAGAATAGAGATGCAGGGTGCCAGTTAGGACTGTGAGTCTGGGCTCTGCATAAGAGTCAGGTTGGTGTTTATTTGGTTTGAGGCGCTTTCATTACATATTATTGTATTCACCTTTTAGGGCAAACTAAGTAACATATAGTTAACAGCATTAGTCTTTGGACTGCTCCCTGACTGAATTTTCAAAATGTCGAAGCCCCACTGACTTAAGCCAAATCTACACGGCAAACTTTACCACTTCTAGCAGTGGCAGATTCAAGCATGTCAGGCTACTAGGTATGAAGTATCTCTTAAACCATAAATAACATAACTGTTTATGCAGTGTTTTGCAGGGGCTAATCATTGTTACTGAGGGTGCCAATTAGTCCAGCCACAGTGCTGTATGGACATGCTTGTACTGCTGCTGGTCTAGGATGGACACTGCTTATAGCTGCACAGTGTGTTTGAGTGTGCCATGTCTGGGAACAGTATAGCTGCAGGGTAAGCAGGTCTTTCATCTCCTACAGGCTAGAGCCAGAAAGGGAGATTGAACATTAAAACCCCAAACCACACCTATCTGTCTCATGGAAATCAAAATC